CAATTGCTATGATGCGCACTGGCCACCAGGGGGCAGACGCTCAATGCAAGAGCTGCCCCGTGGTGGTCAGTCCACTTCCATATGGGGAGTGCCACTAAGGCAGAAGCTGGCTCATGCTGCCCAGCTCAGAGGTGGTGGCAGGAGCCTCTCCCACCTCCGTGGCAGCACTAAGCATGTCCAACTAACAGTTTAGGCCTGATCCCTTGGGGGCTTAAGCTTTTAGTTGGACATCCCCAAGGGCTGACTGCAAGGATGTCTGACTGCAAGCTTAGGCTTGATCCCCTGGGGAGTGGGCCTAAGTCAACAGGTGGACATCCCCCAAGGGGTCCTGAACTGCAAATGGGCGCAGGCCGGGCTGAGGGACCCCTCACCCTGAGTGCGCAAATTTTTGTGCACCAGGCCTCTAGTTTTTATAATAATGTGCTATGTATTTTTTTGTTAATCCTCACCCAAGGCTATTTTTTTCCATTGATTTTTTAGAGAATGAAAGGGAAGGGGAGAGACACACAGAGGGAAACATCGATGTGAGAGAGGCACATCAACTGGTTGCCTCTGGCATGTGTCCCACCCAGGGTCAGGGATAGAGCCTACAACAGTGATGGCGAACCTATGACTCTGACACGCGAACTCATTTTTTTGGTTTTTTCATTGTTAAATGGCATTTAAATATATAAAATAAATATCAAACGTATAAGTCTTTGTTTTGCTATGGTTGGAAATATCAAAAAATTTCTATATGTGACACAGCACCAGAGTTAAGTTAGGGTTTTTCAAAATGCTCACATGCCGAGCTCAAAAGGTTCGCCATTACTGGCCTACAACCAAGGTACATGCCCTTGACCAGAACTGAACCTGTGATCCTTCAGTCCACAGGTCAAACCAAAATATATAATCCACTGAGCCAAACCAGCTGGGGGATGTATTTTTTTAATTGTAGACAGTATTACAAATGTCCCCCATTCCCTAATCTTGCCCCCTTGCACTCAACCCCTACCCACCCCAGGCCTTCATCACACTATTGTCTGTATCCATGGGCTATGCATATATGCATATATGTTCTTTGGTTAATCTCTTCCCGTCCACCCCAACTTCTTCCCCTCTGAGACCTGTCAGTCTGTTAGATGCATCAGCAACAGATGCATGTTCATCAGTTTATTTTGTTCATTAGATTCCACATATAGTGAGATCAAGTGATATTTTACTTTATCTGACTGGATTATTTTGCTTAGCAGAGTACTCCCCAGTCCCCTCCATGTTGTCTCAAAGGGTAAGAGATCCTTTTTTTTTATAGCTGCATAGTACTCTATTGTATAAATGTGCACAGTTTTTTAATCCATTTATCTATTGATGGGCACTTGGGCTGTTTCTAGATCTTAGCTATTGTAAATAATGTCTTTATGAACATAGGGGTGCATATATATTTTCAGATTGGTGTTTCTGGCTTCTTAGGATATTGGAATCACTAGGTCAAATGGCAGTAAAATGGGCAGAGGACCTGAATAGACACTTCTCCAAAGAGGACATACAAATGGCCAAGAGAACCCTTCTAGGGTTCCTTCTTATTTATTGCCATTTTTATTCTATGCCTCTGTTCCTTTCTCTCTTTCAATTTCTTCTTCTTACAGCAGTCCCTTTAATATTTCTTGCAATGCTGGTTTGGTGATAATAAACTCTTTTAGCCTTTTTCTGTTTGCGGAGCTCTTTATTTCACCTTCAATTTTGAATGATAGCCTTGCTGGATAGAGTAGTCTTGGTTTCAGATCCTTGCTTTTCATTACTTTGAATACGTCATGCCATTCCCTTTGGCCTGTAGTGTCTGTTGAGAAATCAGCTGACAGTCTAATGGGATCTGCATTTTAGGTAACTGACTGCTCTCTCTTTTGCTGGCCGTAAGATTCTCCTGGTCTTTAACATGTGCCATTTTTATTATGATGTGTCTTGGCTCATCTTAATTGGGACTCTCTGTGCTTCTTGAACCTGTATGACTTTTTCCTTCACCAGATTAGGGAAGTTTTCTGTCATTATTTCTTCAAACAGGTTCTCTATCCTTTGCTCACTTGTTCTCCCTCTGTAACTCCTATGATGCAGATGTTATGTTTCGTGCTGTCCCAAAGTTTCCTTAAATTATCCTTATGCTTTTAAATTATTTCTTCTCTTTGCTGCTCTGAGTGGTTTTTTTTCTACACTGTTTTCTAATTTGCTGATTCAATCTTCAGCTTCCTCTTATTCTTTATGTCTTGCAGTGTATTCTTTATTTCAGCTGTGCCATTCTTCATTTCTGATTGGTTATTTTTCATGGTTTCTATGTCCCTTTTCATGCTGTTGGGTATTCTTAAAACTATTAATTTGAACTCTGTTTCTGATAAATTGCTTGCCTCTATTTCCTTTAGCTCTTTTTCTGGTGATTCCTCCTGTGCTTTCATTTGGGTCATGTTTCTTTGTCTCTCCATTTCTGTGTATTGGATAGGACTGCTATAACTCCCCGTCCTGGTGTGGTGGCCTTCTGTAGTGGGTGTCTTGTGGGACCCAGTGGTGTAGTCTCCTTAATCCTCTGAGATGGGTACTCATGGAATGTCCCTTGTATGGATTATGTGGGCCCTCCTGTTGTATTTGGGTCTTAATTGCTGTTGACACATTCAGGCTGGCTGACTGTGAGGCTCAACACTGACCACTTTGTGACAACTTGTTATACAAGTGCTGACAGAACAAAACCAGGCAAAACAAGACCAAACTGAAAACAATGTGAAAACAAACAAACAAACAAACAAAAAACACAAACCACCACCAACAAAAACAACCACAAATAATAATAATGAATAGAACACTAAAAGACAAAAGAGCAAAAGAATTAGAGATGAAAAAAAAAAAGAAACCAAAATGGAGAATATGAAAGAAGGAAGAGGAAAGAGAAGGAATACGAATATAAAAAAGAAAACAATAACTACAATAATAATAATTTTAAAATTAATAATAATAAATAAAATATATAATAGGAACAGAAAAATCGGGAGAAAAAAACAAAGGTAAAAATGAAAAAAGAGGAAAAAACCAGAGTATATGAAAAGAGAAATAAAAGACATGAAAGAAAAAGAAGAAAAAAACTAAAGAAAATGAAATACAAAAGAAAAAAATAAAAAGTTAAAAAGATAAAATAATAAAAATAAGTGGAGTTAGTCTCCGCTGATTTGGGGGCTCACTGTGATTACCCTTTGGGTCTGCTATTTGTGGAAGTCGCTGGATTTTACTCCGATGCTGTCTCAGTCTGGCCTCTTGGTGTGCGTGTCTGGGCCTCCAAGAGGTTCTCTGGTGCAAGCCAATGTGAGTTGCTGTCTCTGCCTGGCCCTTGGCAACCTGCCTGAAGCTCATTAGTGCAGCCCCAACTAGTCTGGTGGGCAGGGCTTCCATAGCCCAGAGGCTGGGTCTTCTTGGAGTCTCATACATTGAATGCCCCTGTTCGCAGCTTCTCTCCCTTCCCCCACAGAACTGGGCTCTGCGGTGGCTTCCAAGACCTGGCCGGTTTGGTAAACAGACGTGCACTGCAGGTGGTGCCCACAGCTTGTAGCAGGGGGGGAAGGACACTTTCTCTCCTTCCTAGGACTGTGCTGGCTGAACTCCCTGGGGAGCTCAGCTCGGTTCCCCCTAATGCAGCGGGAGGGCCCAGGACATGCCCGTCTATCTCCCAGTCCATAGCCCATTCCGGTTGCAATGCCTCAGCTCTGTCTGGCTTCCTGATACCTCCTCGCTGCCACACCAAGTAGGAGCGGCTAAAAATATAAAGTCAGCCTCGCATGGCACTCCAGTCTTTCAGCGTGTCTGACCCTCGCTCGGAGGGGCCTCCACCCAGTTTCCCACCGGCCAAATAGCTGAGTCCTGTGCACTCTCAGACCCAGTCGTAGGAGTACAAATTTTCAGCCCAGAGGCCTCCCCTTGGCTGGGTCGCAGAAGAATGGGGAAGACCCAGCTGTTCTGCAGGTGGGGGTAGGTTTGCTACCCGTGTGCTCAAGTTGTGCAAGCCTGATCGTCTTTCCCAAGCCATGCTGTCCAGCCCTCTTCCACTTTGCCCAAAGTCCTCCCAGAGAGCAAAGGGCTGCTCAGATTCACTGCTGGGTGTACCAAATAGATCCCTCCGCCAGCCCCAGTCTTTGCCACGTGGTCCCTCCCTCACATGTGAATTGCAAGGATCTTCCCAGGCTGATGTTGTAAGAAAGAAATCCTTTGCTGGGATGGTGTGGTCTGAGACTTCCAGGTGGACCAGACCGAATGCCCACTGATTCCCACTGCCCAATCTACATGCGCCCCCCTTTCCTTCTCTGTTGCTCTGGATTGGGGATCCCTGTGTGGGGCCGAGAATCCACCTCCTGGGGCATGGGGAGGTGGAGGTGGTGGTGGTGGCTCTGCTGCTGCACCCGCCCCCCGCCCTGCCTGCCCCACACTGCGCAGGTGTGCGAACTGGCTCACCCTCTCCATGTTTCCTCCTGTCCTTTCTCCACATTCCCTGCCTACAATATTTCAGACCAGCTACACTTCAGCTGTTTGTTTTTTTTTAGGCCAAGTTTAGCTGCAAGACTGCTCTGATGTTGGGAGCAAGTGGACGGGCTGTACTATGTATTTTTGTAAGGTAACTCAAATCTTCCTTCTTGAAAATCAATCATTTGTCTATGTGAAACTCCAGTGTCACTCATAAGGAGTTGGCCCCCTCACCAATTCGAACTGCTGTCATTTTTGTTGGCTTCACAAGTTGGATAAAATATAAATTAGAAGCATTTATTTCATTTCTGGTTTCATTTTGGAAACAAAGACTAATAAGATTAAAAGTTGAAGCAACAACATGTTCTTTGGAAAAAAATTAATATAACATGCTCTACAGTATTTTGTGATTATTGGCTTTATTAACATAGCACAATTAATCTTAGATATAAAAATGTATAATTAACTATGTGATTATGACAAGTTAAAATTTATTCTCTGTTCCCTATATTGCCATTTAACTGGAAAAATAAATCAACAATGAAATCTTGTCATCTTACAATCAATTTGAAGTTGGTTGTTCAGGAATAACAATATGAAAGAAATTGTAGACTGGAATGTATTAAACTTTATCAAAACAAAAAGGTTTAATCCAGTCTGGCTCATAAAGCTAGAAAATGTTTATGATTTTTGAAATTCATTGGAACTTTTTCCCTAAGCTGGTTCCTTTGCGATACATTTTCTTGAGTTCTACCCACGACTGCCACAGCAACAGTCCTGGGACCAGGACCCACACACTATTGAAAAATACCAGGTAGACCCAAAAGTACAGCCGACTGTTGGTGTTGAGGTTGGGGCTTCCCATAAGCCACTCCGGGGAGAAGGTCATCCACCCGCCATACAACTCACACACGCACAGAGCAATCTGTACGAAGTGCCTGTTAAAGAGAAAGAAACTAGGGATGAAACGGCCAGCGCGGCACCCTGGGTGATGACAGCATCAACAGTCTCCCAGGACAGAGACCCTCTGAAGGTGGCCTTCAGCTTCCATGTGGTGCTCCTTTACAGGGCAAGTCAATCTGATCAACGAAGACCCGCGTTTTCCTTGAAGCAGCAGCACTGTCCTCTCGAGAAGACTATTCTCAGAGTTGAATAAGGTCTCTGGGGCATCCTCTTCTATTCTTAGGGGGATTTACTGAGACCTGAATGTGAATCTCTTTGTGAGCTACAATTTCACCTGTTGTAAAAGGGATAACAGTCCCTTTCTCAAATAATCTTTTGGAGACATATGAGATATGGTCCAGCCAGTGTGGCTCAGTGGTCCAGCATCGAGCTGTGAACCAGGAGATCACGGTTCAATTCCCGGTCAGGGCACATGCCTGGGTTGCAGGCTTGATTCCCAGTGTGGGGTACGCAGGAGGCAGCCAAACAAATGATTCTCTCTTATCATTGATGTTTCTATTTCTCTCTCCTTCTCCCTTCCTCTCTGAAATAATAAATGTACATATATATTTTTTAAAATATGAGTATTATTAAAAAATGAGACATGTAGATAAAAGGCTGAGCACCTTGCTTGGCACAAAGTAAATACTCAACAATGCAGATATTATAAATGTTTGAAATAATAAACAAATGGGTGCATGTAGTAAGTCTACAATCAAGACTCTGGAGTCAAAGACATGTCAAGGTACTGAGGAGAAATTTAAGTTTTACTGCTGAGAATCCATGTAAAATTGGGTGGGGGAAAAGTGGATTAAATGACCCTTGAGGTCTCTTTCAAATCTGAAATTTTATGATGAAGCTTTAAATAAATAAAACTTATTCTAAGATAGTAGAACACTTAATGTAACTGCACCTACCTGACATTGTTTCAGGGAATCATCCCCAGGTTAGCAATCTATTTACCCCATGTCACTTTGTCCTTAAGGAGGAAAGGAAGGAAAAGGGAGGAAGGGTGGTTGGAAGTCTCAGAGTCTGACTGATGGATGGTGAGTCATCTACCTTTCTCCTTCCTCTCCCCATGCTTCTGCCTTCCTCATATCCTCAATACCAGGGGTCCTCAAACTATGGCCCGTGGGCCACATGCAAATATTGTATTTGTTCCCGTTTTGTTTTTTTTACTTCAAAATAAGATATGTGTAGTGTGCATAGGAATTTGTTCATAGTTTTTTTTAAACTGTAGTCCGGCCCTCCAATGGTCTGAGGGACAGTGAACTGGCCCCCTGTTTAAAAAGTTTGAGGACCCCTGCTCAGTACCCTAGAAAGATTTCTTACTTATCTGGCATGTCTAACTCAGAATCACACAAGAGAATGTACTTTGTAGCAAGTGGAACAGGAGTTTTCTAGTGTGATTTGGGGACGGGGGAGAGGATGGAAATACTACCCTTTTATCCTCCAGAATATCGGTGCAAATCATCCAGTGCTGTTAACACCAGGCTTGCCTATACAGTGCCTAGGTTGTTACCTCAATCACATTTCTCAGATGTCTTATTTTGAACTGTTTGAAATGGTCCTACGGGCACCATGATCCTTATCTAATAAGAAACAATTTTTGTTTCCACTCTACTTTTTGTCTAACAAAGAAATGTGATCATCATCTCCTTCAAATGTCACGTAAGCATTGGGACTGCTAATGATTCTCCTCTTT